CCTAGGGTATAACCATTCAAAGGACAGTAGATGGGCTACCATAATCAGCAACCCCATTTTCTGGACATTTATTTAGGTGGTGGTGGTTCTCCAGGTTCCCCAGTGGGCATTCTAATACATCTCAGGTTTGTATTAAGAGAAGTTTTATAGTTGTTTCATCAAGGATCTTTGAGTCAGTAAGCCATTGAATTACATTGATATGGTTCAATTTATTTTTACTCAAAGTGCAAGTGAACTAGAACCATACATTAATAAATACAACATCTTTGTATGACCCAGCCAAGCTCTTGGAATTCATTCTTCATTCTATTTCATGAAATAATCAGCACGCAGCAGGGTAAGTAAATAGGAGCCCTGGGCTTTGATTCAAATCTCATTTGTGACATTTAGAAGGTTGATTGTTGGGCAGGTCATCAGCCTTTGTAAGCTTCTCATTTGTAAAGTGGGGTGATGATAAATACTTGTACTACTTATCTGATGGGGTGGTGGTTGTGAGATGAATGCCTTTTAAATTTTGACATATCATTTAAATAACCTGCAAGTAGTTCAGGTTACACCAGTGGTTGTTTTCTGTAGGGTTGGCCTGGCTTTAATTTAAAAAAAAAATGTTTGAAGAAGACCATAGTGTTATAGGAAATGGCTTTAATAAGCTATGAACAACTTTAATATTTGCCTTAATATGTACAGTGAACTTTATAGGAAAACTGTTGCATTTATACTTTAAGTGTAGAAAAATTTGAATAAAAATTTATATAAAGGAAGAATGGATCAGAAGACAGTTAATCTTCTCCAGAGCTTACCACCAAAGATAACTACGTTTGCTTTCTACTTTTTTTCATCTGTATGTGAAAAAGATTTTATTTTTAATGTGAAACAAAAAATTGTTAACCTTACATGAAACAGGCATCACATTAATCCTTGAGAATTTGATTGGATGAGTTGTGGTGTTTAAATTTGTTTAAAATTTGACCAATATTTTTTTTTTTTTCCATTTTTGTGCAGGCCATGGATGAGATGAATGGGAAAGAAATAGAAGGGGAAGAAATTGAGATAGTGTTAGCCAAGCCTCCAGACAAGAAAAGAAAAGAACGCCAGGCTGCAAGACAGGCCTCCAGAAGCACTGCGTGAGTCTGCCCTACTGTGTTCTGTCGTCAGGTCTTGCCATTCAAAGTTTTAGAACCCCTGGACCCGGATAGTGATTCAGTAGAACGGAAGTCGCCAAGAGCCTTCCAGAACAAACTAATGAGTGTTCTCTCCTCACTAGGTATGAAGATTATTACTACCATCCCCCACCTCGTATGCCACCTCCTCTGAGAGGCCGGGGGCGTGGTGGGGGAAGAGGCGGCTATGGCTACCCCCCAGATTACTATGGCTATGAAGATTATTATGATGACTACTATGGCTATGATTATCATGACTATCGTGGAGGCTATGAAGACCCCTACTATGGCTACGATGATGGCTATGCAGTAAGAGGAAGAGGAGGAGGAAGGGGTGGGCGCGGTGCTCCGCCACCACCACGGGGGCGAGGAGCACCACCTCCACGAGGTAGAGCTGGCTATTCACAGAGGGGGGCACCTTTGGGACCGCCAAGAGGAGCTCGGGGCGGGAGAGGGGGCCCTGCACAGCCACAGAGAGGCCGTGGTTCGCGTGGAGCTCGGGGCAACCGTGGGGGCAACGTAGGAGGCAAGAGAAAGGCCGATGGGTACAACCAGCCTGATTCCAAGCGCCGTCAGACCAACAGCCAGCAGAACTGGGGCTCCCAGCCCATCGCCCAGCAGCCGCTTCAGCAAGGTGGCGACTATTCTGGTAACTATGGCTACAATAATGACAACCAGGAATTTTATCAGGATACTTATGGGCAACAGTGGAAATGAAGTAGACAAGTGAGGGCTTGAAAATGATATTGGCGAGATTTGATTGGCTATAGATCTACATTCTTCAAAAAAAAAATTTGGCTTATCTGTTTCATCTTTCAGTAGCAATTTGCTGCCATTTGTATTGGGCTGAAGAATCACTATTGTGTATATACTCAAGTCTTTATTTTTATTTTTATTTTCTTCTCTTTTCATAAATGCTCTTGGACATTATTGGGCTTGCAGAGTTCCCTTATTCTGGGAATTACAATGCTTTTATCGTTTTAAGCTTCATTTTAGCAGTTTCAAAGCAGTCTGAGCATACTGTTAAATCATGATTTTTTGCAGAACCTTTGGTTTTTGGACAGTTCCTTTTTTTTTCTTTTTTTTTTTGGATTTGAGATAGATTACATAGGAGTATGAGTATGCTGTAAATAAAAGTACGAGTTAGTGCTTTGTCTTAGTAGTTTTAAGAAATTAAAACAAACAAATTTCAGTTTTCTTGTATTGAAAATAACCTATGATTGTATGTTTTGCCTTCCTTAGAAGTAGGTTAACTGTGTTTTTAAATTGTTATAACTTCACACCTTTTTGAAATCTGCCCTACAAAATTTGTTTGGCTCCAACGTCAAAGCCGTGGCAATTTGTTCCTTGATGTGATTGTATTTCCAATTTCTTGTTCATGTAAGATTTCAATAAAACTAAAAAATCTATTCAAAACATTACCTATTTCAAATTCAATTGTGTCCTAAAACATTATTTCATTCGTAATCCTTGCAAGGAATATTGTTTTCAAAGTATAACTGCCTATGTGAGTGATCAAATTCTTGCAAAATTTCTTGTCTATTCCGACACAGTAGCATTGTGGATATTAGCCTGAGGATTATATCAAATTATGAATTATTCCACATGGAACTCAGTTAATTGGTGTTCTCACAATCACTTCTCCTTTTGAAATTTTATCTTTTGTTATAAAAACCAGGTTCAAATAGCTTTTGAACATTTTCACAGGCATGGATTAATTTGCAGTTCTATCAAGTATTAAGGAGTTGGGGAAGTGGCCTGCAATTCCTTCTGACCCACATTCTTGCTCTGAAGGATAATTGTGGTTGAAGTGCTTGTTTGCTGGATGACAGGGACGACAGTTATTAATAGTGCCATGGGGTCAATTGCCGACCAAAGTTCTGCTTCAGCTTTCGTGAATGTGATTGATTATTTAGCATTTAATTTGGTCATCAGACCTGTTTTGGGGAGAAATAGAATTTCCTTTCATTATTTAAATTTACCTCAGAATTTTAATGCCTTTTAAGAAGGCAACCCATGGACCTCTCTTAGACATCATTTTGACTTGATTGACAGCCTTTTTTTTTTTTTTTTTTTTTGACTGTTTTGGCCACCTTGTCATGACACTTCTTTCCCTGTTTAACCTTTGGAGCTGTGACTTTTAGTCTTCAGAAGAATATTTTGCTTTCCAAGAGAGAAGCAGAAGGATCTAAGTTTAAAAACTACAAGAACCCGCCAGACAGAATGATATTTGGACCTCTATTCAAATTACAATTACTGCCTTCCCCTCTTATATGTTGAGAGATTTCTAAAGCTTGTTTATAAATATGGACAAATTGTGAAAGTAATTTAAATGGCTACATACACCTTTCTTTTGCTTTTTGTTGCTGTTTGGTCTTTTAAAAATAATTATTACAAGAGAAAACCAAATCTTCCAAAAAGAAAATAACCAAACTTATTCTTGTCAGTTTGGTAGATCATATCTTGGGTTTCATGGCTTGTAAATTGACTTGAAATAATAAAATTAATATTTGCTGCTAAAAATACATTTCTCATTTCCTTTTCAAAAGATTATACTGATAACATCACAGTCTTTTAACAGGCCTTAATTAATATTCTTTTTATGTTTACACTGCTGAACATTTTAAAACCATTATCTGGCCTGATTTTATTTTGTAAGAGTTTCGGATTAATATGAGTATCTCATTAAACTTTACCTTTTTTCTTCCAGTAGATCATTTTTAAAAATGTGCCTGTTTTTGATATGTGAAAAAACACTAAAATATTCTACAGATATTAATTTCAAAATTGGAGCATCCAGACTTACGGTTGAAATACGAATCTTCTAAATTGGAGTTGGATTAAGCCCTGCTTTTCCTTGGGGGATAGTAAGAATTGCTTGGAGCCAAAATTGCTTGGTTCTAAAACTTGTATAAAGTGCAGACTTGTTTGTGTTCTCAAATTAGAGTTAGACATCAGTTATGTTTGTCTTAAGGAAATTTAGAAACATGAATAGTATTCAGAAAAAGTTGTTTCTTGTAAGCAAACAAAACTGTAAAAGTCATTGATTCTCCAATACTCTTGCAGTAAAATGCAAGTTATTTCAATGGTTAGACTCTAAAGGCAGCCATCCTTCCTCAACCCTGACCAACTCCCTGGGTTAAAGTCTGGTGCCTGTCTGATATAATTGTTTATGTAATTCATGTGAATATTTCTTTAATGGAAAATGTAACCATGTGGAGATTTGATATATTTTACTTAGAGACATCCCTTTTTGGGGATAGTTTCTATTAATGCTGCAGCAGCATTCCATACGTAAGATAACATACCTAAAGTTTGAAAATCTACCTTGTTTTCACAAAGATACCACAGTAATAACAAAATGTAATCATATGACATTAGAAGTTGAGTAAGGAAAGATGTCATTTTGACTTTTCGTCATTAACATATTTTTTAAAATTACAAGTTGTATGATTAATGAGTCCTGAAAATTTTATTTACTGGTCCTTTGCTGCCTTTTCCTTTTTGTCCCTCAGCTCAATTAAGTTTTAGCCATGAATCCACTGCAGGGGGAAAAAAGTGTGTATCTGGTAAATGGTTTTACTTTATACTGAGGCAGATTTTGTTGTGTATCTTGAAATTGACCTACAACTCCCTCTAGTAATAGAATGCTAATTTTTATTTGATCACTCATTTATAGCAGTTGTTTCAAGAAATGTATGTATTTATATGAAGGTATTTTGATGGAAAAAAAAAAGCAAAAAATATTCATTAGACTGTCAGATTTCTAGTTAATCCTAAAAATTGTTTCAATCAAAAGATCTGAATGATAATTTCATCATGTTACTACAGTTAGTTTCCTATTACTGAAATTAGTGTGCAGATATTTCAGCATAATTGTTTTTAGTTTTCTTAATTTGTTGGGTTTAATCTGCATTTTATGAAAGCCCACTGCTTTCAGTAGTTTGTACTTAACTTTTTTCTAATGTGACTTTAACGGCTTTAGTAGACAAATTGACCTCAAAGATGAACTCTCATCTTTTAAAAATTTAATGGGTCTAAGAAAGTACATTTCAAAATCAGTTACATGTTTAGATCAAAAGAATAGGGTCATAAAATTCCATTCCTAATCTATAGCCATGTGGTGGTATAATTGTATTCCTCAAAGTGTATTACATCTTTTGCCTCCTTCCCATTGGGGTGACCTGCCTAAGTCCATTTGTTGTATTTTTAGCCCATTTCAAAAATACTTCCTATAAGGCTGTTGATATGTCAGTTATGAAAAGGACCTTTTGAAACTTTGATGAAAGCAATTTTGTTGCCTATACCTATTGATGTTTTTTTAAGAATTTCAACAGTCAGCATAGTAGGAATGTGATGTTCTTAGTGAATCTTGAATAAGAAAGCTTCTTTCAAGAGTAGGTAATAGCCTTATAGGAAGTATCTTGGCTTTAGAAGTGTTTCCATATTCTTTAAAAGGGGGAGCTTCTGTTAACTTAGGGACTCAGTAGTTTTTAATGTGCCCTAGTAAATTGGATTATAGCTTTTAAGAATCCGGAATTATAAGGTGTGAATAAAATGAGGCACATATCTACTTTGACACTAGAAGTTGACTGCCTTTCTTACCTTGGAAATGAAAACACTAAACTTTCAAAATAATACATAAATGAGTTTGGTGTTGGCCAATGACGAATATTTGGTAAGGATTGGATTTAACTTGAAATGCTAACAGCTTTAAATTTTTTAAAAAGGTTTTCTTATTTTGGAGGTTACCAGAAGCTCTGAGTATTTTATGTTCGTATTTAAATGAAACAAACATTTTCAGATGTTATCCAGAAATCTGCAAGTGTTCTTTTTCTGTTTTAACTCCTTCCTTTTATCACCTGACTATCAGGGAAGCGTGGTTGAGGCTGCCCTGACCTGACATGTCATGATGTCGACTTGCTAGGTGGGGTTCGCTGGGGACGATACCAATGGAGTTGTTGGTAAGAGCACTTTCTTTCTCCTTTTTTGATCAGTCAGGGGACACAAAGGGTGGGGGAAATACCCAAACCCTTTGCATTGGGTAATTTATATGGGGCCTGTAGAAAAATCAGACTTTCATACTATTATCTTAAACTTAAATAATCCTCTTTAAAGGAACACAAGATTTTCATACTTTACTGTATGCAGTCAACAGTCTGCAAAAATTTAGTGAGGGCTCACATGTTACATGATATTGAATGAAATATTTGCCAATTCATACAAAATAACATGTAGGTTGTTCAGTCTTCGAAAAACTTGCATTGTAACAAGTAGTTTAACATTTAACTGAGAGGCAGCATGGTGTAGGCGTCTAAAACTGCAGTTAGAGGGTTCTAATCCCAGCACTTCCACTCACGGGTCTTACGATGTTGGTGAGCCTTTTCAACTTGATGGGCCTCAAGGCTATCATCCTAAGATAAAGGGAGGGTGGGAGTGGTGGTGGAGGTGGATGATCTGGTGGCAATGGCTTAGCACACATTGGCATTATCTTTTGACTCTTTATTTTGTATTGCGGTTATTGCTGTTTCATGCAATGGGACACCAGCAAGTTATTTTAGTGATGTTCTGAAGCATTGGCCTGAAGATTATTTTGAGAGAATGATTTTAAAACTGGACAGAGAAATTAGTTTTTTGCAGCCACACTTTCCAAAAGGTGTTTTATTGATGTTTGGAAGCAGAAATTATAGGACTATAAATTTGAGATCTAGAGAAAGTAATGTGAATCATCTAAGTTTACACTTGATTCCGTAGCTGAGGACAGTGCGGAAATTCAGTGGGGTAAGTTGGTGGGATTATAATTGCTAATATTAATGATAAGTAACATACAGCACTTTGACATTTGCAAGGCATTTTGCACACTTTACGTGGATAGCCTCACAAACTGAACAACTTGTCTTTTCTTGGACAGACCTAGGACGTGATGACTTTGTTATGTATTAGAATTAACAATGAAAGAAGGTCAATTTTTAAATAGATTTGAAAATTTAAACAGGCTTGCATCATTAGCAATAACATTGTTAATACATTTTCACCCAATTTCACTGTAACATTGTAAAATTTTGCTGCCACACGTTTGGCCAGTTCCTTTAGGGTAACTCTCCTAAGGCTCTGCTTACTAACTCCTTTATTTTGTGGTTCTGACTGCCCTTGATCCAATTGTGTTTGGGGGGAACCTGTTCATGTCTTCAGGTGGGGAACTATGGACAGTAAAGCCTTTGTTTTGCACTCTTATTGGGATATCCATGGTGATGATGGTGGGGGGGGGATCCTGGGGAGGTGGAAGGAGGGATGGGATCCAAGCATGATTGGGGCTGGGCGGGGCACACTGTCAGTATTTGGAGAATCCATGATTTCATGGCTGTGGGTACTGTCTCCACCAATGCACATTGCCCCTTGTTTATGCTTCAGTAGATGGTCTTCATGAATTGGCGCATTCACCACCACCCTGCGGCTAACCTGGTAATGAGGCTCTCTGAACTTAGCTAGGCGGGTCCTTGGATAGCAGACGCCCAGTCCACCGCTGGGCCCGTGCTCAGTCTTTGCAGCTCGACAGGACCTTCCGGAGCTTGCACTTTGCCTGGCGTTGCCTTCAAGAACCCAGGTCACTTCCACACTACCATGTTGCTTCAAAGGAAGACTTCAATGGAGGTGATTTTGATATTGATACTAATAAAAAAATCATATTTTTGGTACTGAAGTAAGATAGCCATAATATATTTTCTTCATCCTACCTAGCTTCCTTACTCTGAGATGACTTTCATTCTCTCTTTACTAATCTGGGCATCAGCTCCAAGGGCATATTTCAGTAGGTCTTGGGAAATCCTTGGACAGGAACCTTTGAGAAGGTTTTGGGAGAGCCCTGGCAGTGCTGTGACACCCTCCTCTGCGTTATTGGGGCTTAGTGGCTGTGCACCTGTCCTTTCTTCTTTTCTTGGTCCACTTTACAACTTTGTATGTTGTAATAGGAAGGCTTGAGACACCAGGCAGCTTATATAAGGAATTCCTTGCCCCTCAAGGATAATTTTATAGCACTAGATTGGGAACACTTAGAAAACCATGTTGAAATGCATAGAGCTTACTAGAAGTACAAGAACAGAGCATTGTACAATTCAGGAAGCTTTCTCTAATGGCGGGAAAAATAACCTGCCTTGATCTGGCACTTGGACAACTTCTATAGTGTTTTTCTTAAAAGGCCTCCCTGAGGTACACAATGCAGGAAGCATCGTCTCTGTTTTATTGTTGAGGAAGCATGTTCTCAGACAGGGGAAGAGCCTGGCCAGAGGTAATATGGTTAGTCAGAAAACAGTATATGTCATGGATGAAATGTTTGCACACAGACAGATGGCCTCCACCACTGTAATTGTGCAGTAAGATCATTACTACAAGATAAATAAACTTTGTGGTAACATGATGCAATCTGCTGACCTATTATTTTTCCTGAGATGGAAATTACAAAACTGTTCTGTGGGGGTAACTGCCCTAATAAAATTTCATCTGATGCTGAGTTTTTGTAGAAGGAATTAAATGTTAGGTGATGTATTCCTGTCATAAATAAAAGATTTTACTGTGTTTAAACAGCCTAGTAAAGTTATCTTTCTTAAACCAATTCTCTTTAGTGCCTCATAATGGACAAGATTCCTCAGTAAGTAGTTGTACAGTAATAGAGGTAGAATCCGATTTGATTATAGTGATATTGGCCAGTTTTCTTTAATAAGGCCACTGCTAGGCTCTGGCCCAAAACCTGTACTAACATGGCTTGCCTGGCATGCACACTCATTCCCATGATTGAGAAAGCCTATGGAGTAAGAACAAGTTTCTCTCCACTTCGTAGGAAATTTAACAGAATTTGTAGTTTTTGGTACAGTGTTTATGTATTTGTACAAACTGTATTGGAATACCTGTACAATGTTTAATTTTTTAAATAAAACATTATATATTCAAAGTGTTTGTGCTGGTGATTTGCGGTGGGAGAGAAGATTATTTTGTTTTTTTTTTTTTGTAAAGGATGCTTCTTGACTTTTAGTGTTCAGGCTGGTGACTTTGGTGGGAGTTCCCACCCTCAACATTTGATCCCAATATTTCTCTTGTTCTGGGGTGGGGCACCAAATTTAAGGAGGGATCCTAAGGACCCTAGTTCACCATTCCACATAGCATTGTGTGGCTTACCACACACTTTGCTCATAACTATGATCTAGCTAGATACGTCTTCCACATTTTGGGGGTGAAAAGTGCCTTGATGTAGATAAGGAGTCAAGTGTGGTTTGAACCCAGGTTCCTAATGGCAGGCCCAGAACTTTTTCTGCTGTGCCTTGCTGATGACCATATTACTGTATTGGGAGCAGAAGGAGAGAGGCCAGGGTACTGCTCAGGACAGAATGGTCAGCTTAGAGGAATATTGGGGGTAGACATGCTGCTTTTTTCCCCCTCTTGCTAATTGGTGGTACATCATTTTTTTTTTTAAGTTTTTTGGTCCCACTATTTCTTCCTATTCAGTAACTAACCTGGGTAAAGAAGTTAAAAAATTTGGAAATTGGCATACATTCTAATACATAGTATACTTAGGTAGTTAAAATGCACTTAATGATAGATGGTCTTTGAGGGAAGAAATTGTCAGTAAGTTAAATTTCTGAAATGAAAAAATGAGAGAAAACCCAAGTGAAAATTATGCCTAAATACTGGAACAAAGTTGGAATGAAACAAAATGTCAAGATTGAGTGCAAAATTATACATGAAATGATTTAAGTTCTAGTAAACCGTGTTGGGCCTCAGGTTTGGCTGTGCTGGTTTTCCATGACCAGGTTGCCATCATGAATCTTGGAGCTGGCTCCAGGGAGGCAGTCACCATGGAGGAGGAAGGAAACATGAAACCCAAAATGTGATAGAGAGGAAAATGTCATGTACGTGCACTACTGACTATCTTGAGCTTCTTGCTTCCTTCCTATTTGGGCTTTGCCTGATACATACTGGTGTTACCACCTTTCTATCTCTAACCCAAATATTTACTAACACTTTTTTAGTCTTTTACCCTACACCTTTGAAAAGAATGTTTCTGAAACATACCCAGAGAATGTTTTAACTTGTCTTTTTATAGAAGTCCTGTACCTGTGGGCGTATGAACACAACCAGTAGTCATTGTGGTAGTGGGAAGGAAGCGAGGAATAGAGCAAGAGGTAAATATACTCCTGAATTGGAAACTCTAGTATTCTGTGGAGGAATGAGCAAGAAATCTTCCTCCTACTCTGACTCATGGGAGACAAGGGTCCATCCTCAAACTAGTCCTGCGCTCTCTACCCAGCCCTAACCCTTGTTAGTTCATATACCTCACATCCCTTTTCAAAGCATGGCACTATGAAAAATACCTTGGTTCCGCCCCAGCTTTAGTAACCATTCGCCTTGTGATATTGGGCAAGTCAATTTGCGTCATAGAATTATTGATCCAGAGCTGGAAAGGAAGAGACTTCATGACATCAAGCTAGTTCAGCTACCTGGACCTCACGGTCCTCTGTTTCTAGATAGTCCTCATGTTAGGAGATTCAGTGGACTGGATTTTTTCCTCTTTTAACCCTCCAGATAGATAACACCTTCTGATAAGGCAGATGTCTACCCCTTAATAACAGTACTTAATATACTTTATACTTAGATCTCTACTCCCTTTCTCTCTCTTGGTATCCTCACTAGAGGCCCTAATCTTCTTGTCCCTGACCCAGGCATAGTAAGAGAATCGCCAGCAAATCCCCATAGTATATTGTCTTTCTTGAGGCCCTGACATCATGAAGTTATAGTCAGTCTTGATTTCGGATGAACTTAAACTTTAAATCAAGAATCTTGTAAAATCTCAGATCAGTGCAATTTAAACAGATCTGAAGTCTCACCTGATTATGCTCCATAGAATAAGGTAGATAGAATATAGAAAATATCTCTGAGGATGCTGCAGTTTCAGTCAGTGGTATATCATTTTGACACATCTCTCCTACTCTAGGTCAGGAGTACCCTTTCTCTTTGTATTTAAATAGGTGGATCACAGCTTAAATACAGTTTTGTACATGATTCCAGTGTCATATAATGTTGCCTGCTATTTTCAGCAAGCGTTTTCATGGCAGAGGAGCTTTTTTTTTTTTTAAGGTTAAATTCTATGATTAAGCATGGAGTATTTATAAATACAGTGGATCCTCTTAATGCATTTTAGGATACAACCTACAGCCAACTTACAGGTTTTACCCATGTTATATCACGTGTTTCATGTCTTAAGTTATATTTAATGGAAACAATTTTACCTGCAGTGTAACCAAGTCTGTCTCATAATGAGCTGTAGAATAGTGAGATTTCGCTGAAGAAACTGGGAAATCAGTCTCTTTTTACTCTTCTGTCAACTTCTCTGAGTCACTGGATCTCAAAAAATAAAGCAACATCTATTATTACCACTGATAGCTGTTTGTAGTCTAAAGACAAAAATGAAATACAAAATGAGTGAGTATATTTGAGTCTATTCTTTGTGCTGTGCTAGACTAATTATATTTGGACCAGTATTGACCTTTAGAACCTTTCAGGGCCCTTGAGAATTTTTCTTAATTTGTACAACTGCTTTTTACCTGGGAGGAGAAAGGTTCTTTGTTGTTTAGTGTAAGTATTCCCAACTAGTACAAGGATCTTTAGTTTTACTAAATTGCTACCATTTGGTGTTTTAATTTTTCCAATCCTTAATAGTTTGAGAGCACATAAACGTTTAGCCTACTTCTCTGACTTATTTGTAAGAATTTGGGCCCTAGGAAAAGCCTTTTCTAACTAAGTAGAAAAAAAGAAATGATCCCAAGGTTTCATTTTTCCAGATAAATGACTCAGAAAATTGTTTACCTTAACATGATATGCAACATAATATTCGGTCAATATTCTGATAACTTTGTAAATGTGTATTTCTGGATCTTGTTATTAATTTATGTAATTCAATATTGTAATATTGTACTGGCCTCATTTTGTAAACTTAATATTTTCTTACTGCTAGTAGTAAAAGCACTTTTTTGCAGATGAGGAAACTGAGACTTGGAGGGAATTGCCCTCCCTCACATTACTAATTAGTGGTAGAATTGAACTTGAAACTCCTCTCTTAACTGTGATCTCAGGGAGATGATGGTGAGGGTAAGTGAGTCACAAACTTTGGTGGGGAAAAAAACACCCCAGTGTTGTGTTCTATAGCCAGTCTGTGCGAAAACCTAGGCTCTCTTTACCTTTGCGTCCCCACTCAGAAATCTGCCCCAGGAGAATCAGGAATGGTACCTACCCAAGACACAGAAGAGGGACTTCTCTGCTTGAATTTAGACCTTGTGAAATGTTCCCTTGTGACCCATAGAAATTAGGTCCAATGATAAGATGGCATAGACATGGGCATCTGTAGGCTTCTGGTATTTATTACAGGCCTCTGCAAAAGTCTGATTCACGTGGTTTTAAATGTGTTATGAAGGTGACTTGGGTTAGGAAGGAGCCTGTGGGATGATATGCTGCTTCCTAACATAAGTTCCCAAATTATGCTTGTACTGCCCAAGTCTTGCCGTCTCCCTTCTCTCCTCGGAAACATTCACTGGCTCTTCTGCCTGTAGGATGAAATACAAACTCCTTATCTCTGCAGCTGAGCCCCACTGTCGTTGGACCATACCCTGCCTTTCCAACCTTACTTCATGTAACTCCTGTCTCTCACGTAGGTTC